CGGTCATAGATATCCTTGCTTCGTTTATGTGACCACATAGTGCTTGGTGGTCACTTTAGGGTTCTCCTGACCCTTGTACTTGTGGGCCGGCCTTCGGGCCATGCGCAGACCCAATTGCTTTGTTTTCTTCGGAATACATGCATCCAGCCTCGCTTACTGGGAAGTCTCGGGACGCTTCATTTTCTTCAACAGTTTTACCGACACAAATTCTTTTTCCACCAATATGGAAATAGATGTTTTGCGCGAATGGTGATTCGAAGAGCTAAATTAGGCAAAAGTTTATTAAGTCTGTAACACCGGCATAATCACAGGGAAAGGGCAATGAGCTGTTGATCATGTAATTAAACCGCAGGATACTAATGTCTACCTAAACTGTACTGATTTTTGGGGCTAACCAGCCAGTTGTGCTTGACGTCTTTTGCTAATTTACTTCAATACGTCGTACTGTGACGCCATCATCACCAAAGACCGACTGTTAGTCTCTTCGTCATCAAATTGTCTATTCAGACACGCTACTCGATGCACTTCAAGCAGAACCTCTGATGTTGATTTGATTGGGAGTGGTCCCCTCACATCTCATACTTAGACGCTAATGAACTGAAAAAGGGAAACATGTCAGATGTGTATCAGCTGCAGGCTTGATAATCCGGCTTTGGGGACTAAGTAAAGCAAAAGTTAAATTAAAAATGACAGGAATTATACATTGATAGAACTAACTGATCATGGAGTGAGAAATATACTGATACTATGAATTGTTGGCTATTCAAGTATTAGTTAACGAACAACTCCAATGCTTTCTCATCAAGATGTAATAAAATGGATTCTTACAGACTAAAAAAACTTACGATGACGACGCCCCAATTCTTATGTATAATTGGACGTTTTTTTTGTAGACATGCGATATCGATGCCAAGGTCCCCATTTCCTTTGCATCTTGTGCCGGTCTGGGATGTAAGCACTTCAAAAAATTGATCGTGGGTTCTCAAAGGGGAGACACATGAGTGCAGTGTGCAATGTGCCTTGGGGTGTCATCCATCCACGAGAGTGGTCAAGTGCTTTTGTTCAAAGAACCATTTGATCAACCATCAGTGTGATTATAGGTTAGGTGATTGTATCAATGGCCTAGTAAAACAAGGTGGTTTACCTTTGCCTTGCTGAATGCTAAGCAGAGAGTAGGACTTAACTTACGCACGTCTTTTACAAAAACCCTAACCATAAATGACACTAGGTAGGAGAAAAATTCGAATACACTTTTATTTCAAAAAATCAACGCCAGAGCTCTAGCACATTTGGGTGAGAATAGAGTGGGTCAAGTGCTAGCTGATGCCAATCTCCATATAATTGTTACTTAATGCACGTCACACAAAAATGAGGTAGCGTGATGCATTGGTTTTTTAGCTGTCAGTGCAGGAAACATTCCAAGAATTAACGTCTCACCAAATAAAAAGTCCCCTTTAAAGTGATGTTTAGAAAGCACTTTAGACTGCAACGTAGGGGATACCTCTAGGCTTATCGCTAGTCTCCATGGCGCGATAAGGCGTATTCTTACAAATACCAGGCATCCAATAAAATAAAAAGAAAGAATAAATTGGCGGGACCATTGTTAGAATAGCAAAACTAAAACTGACATAACGCTAGCGAGCTCCTTTCATGAAGTATCTCAGCTATCGGGAGGAAATTTATTTTCAACTTAGCGGAAGAAGGACAATGAAAAGCCTGTAACTAGGCAACCGTTACCATTAGAGTCTGCCAAATAGGCATCAAACGAATTTGAAGTCAGAATATATAAAGGTTAGTTTGGTCAGACTAGTGAATTTTCATTACAATGCATCCAGCGGTAAGCATAGTGGCGGTTGCAGTGTCTACGTTCTTTCTTATCCTTGCGCTGGCCATCCCTAAGTGGCCTTGTGGAGGTAACATTTTCGACTTCTGCAGCAAGATTGGAGGCTCACTTGGGAATCACTACCTGGCCATCGGCGTACTACTCACAATAGCAGTTTTACTGTTCTTCGTGGTGCTTGTTATCCACCTCGTTGTAATGTTTGTATCCGCGCCCCCTTGGGTCAACATCATGGCCGCTGTCACCTCCATCGTCGCATCAATCTTTGCAATTGCAGCGGTCCTTCTTTACACCGATAAGGCCAGTGTCTCTTGGAGTCCCTTCTTGGCTATTGTGGGCACTACTGTGGGTATCCAAATCACCGTCATGCTCATTCTAGCCCTCATTTTTAAGTAGACCTCACCGTTGCAGTAAACAAGTCGCTACTCTAGTTAAATTGTGAAATTCACTTTGTACCATCACTCAAAATACATTTAAAGAACACTGTATCCATCTTTTGCCTGTTTGAAAAATTCAGGGATTTCAAAGCAATAAGAACCACACATTTTTGAAGTATTAGCGCTAAAAGTGAGCAGCAGTGGAGGAGTTTTGCGCTTTAGGTTGACGCTGTTTTAACAAATTTGGCTCAATTTTCTTACCCCATTAGAACAAAGTGAAGTCGTGCAGTGTGAACAGAGGCTATTTGTAATTCCACTGAAATTTTCACCGCATTTTGTTATGGCTCATGAATTATTGGAACAGAGGTTGACATGAATTAGCATAAGATATATTTCAGCTGCCTGCAACGCACACATTCTAATGTACAAGCCTACTTCCGAGGCCTAGGATGCAAAAAAGAGAAAAATTGCAATTTAGTGATAGTACCACTCGTGGCTCCACCAGGACTGCATGTAATTAGGGGAACTCCAAGCTTAAAACACGAATTGCTTATAGTAGTGGCCATGGCTGCTAAATCGCAGCAATGGTAGGTATGAAAACACAAAACGGCTTTCATCTGCTTAGTATTTACTTAAAAAAATTTTGTTTGCTTTTCAACTCCTCACATTGCTTACTCAGGTTGGCGGTTACAAGTCGAAGGAATGCAGACAGCAGAATTGCGTTCCATCAGATCACAAACGCATTGCATTGATGCACTGCCACTGTCACAAGTCTAGTCCTTCATCACTTCCACAAGTGGACTGAAAAAACTGTTGGGATCAGCTGCCGATCAGAAGATAATTGTTAAAACTGTGGATTTGGTGACAGTCTCGAAAAAAATTTCCTAATCAATTAAGGCTTTAATCATCAGGCAGTTTAAAAGCCAGACTTCAGTAGTACTAAACAAACCTGATGAGAACTGTTGGTTTGCTGAGAAGTCGTCACTTCTGTCACTTATTCTTGACTAGTGTTAATACTAATAGCAATAATAATAATAGTAATAATAATAATAATACCGACACATCCACTTCAAACTGGGAATAAGATTTACATAAAATGGTACATGAATCGCTTACCGACCAAGTTGACTGGAGTAAAGCAGAATAAGTAATTGATATTTGCATTTAGCACAATAAAATGAAAGGAAATGAGAGCAAGAGGCGACTTCTGTCAAATACTGCTAAGCGCTAACCTACGACAGGGCATATGAAAGTCACATGTTTGGCAGGAGGTCAGGCTGGTGAGCTCATGATGCAACGCCGAGTAGGCAGTGCATCCAATGGGCCTTAAAGCAGCTCTGCGCATGTGTGTGCGCCTGAAAAGTTACTGCTTAATGACTACTAAGCCACAATAATACTGCACGCACTGTAGCCAATGGCAACAGGCGCACAAGCACCTGAGCTATAAAATTGGTACCGCATTGGTTGCACAGTTTATTCTCTCCCATCCAAATGGGTCAACAGATCTCGCATATCACAACGACCCCAATTCAGCGACGACATATTGCGTTTGGAGTGATTTTAGCTTTCTTCAGCATTGCCCTCCTCATTGCCGAAGCAAAGCGGCCAAGCTCCTCTTTTGTGGGTTATTGGGTGGGTACGATTGGCATCCTGCCTGCTGTTTTTGCGATTGCTTGTGGAATCAAGACCACGAGGTCTCTCCTCATAACCTCGTGTTTCTGTGATTTTCTCTCTTCTTGCGCATGTGTGGCCGGAGCTATTCTTTCTTTGGTGTTTTTTTCAGTCCATGTCTATGCGGTCGGTTGGCTCTCTGTGATCCTCACAACATTCCTCCTTTATCACGCTTTCGCCATCTTTGGTGAGCTCAACATCTGTTGCAGAATTGCCATTTTTGGGATCCCAGATGAAGCGTCGGACGACATTAGCCACCGCGATCAAGAATGCGACTTTCCAGCCCCACCAATTGGCTTTTTCATGCCTGATGAAGTGCCAAAACCGCCTAATTATGACCAGCTGTCCGTTCGAGGTGATCCACCAGCCTACAGTGAAGTCTGTTCGCAGAGAACTTTCGTGACACCTACCCCACCACCACCATCAACACCATCACAACCTCTTCCATTGCCGGATTCTGCTCATTGTCGAAGAACCAGATCCCCTACAACTATTCGGATCCCCATGAGCATCAGGGCAGAACGCAGACATCAGTCAAATCCAAGATCGCGATCCAGGTCGGATATCTACAGTGGAGAAGGAATTACATCGGCAGAGCATTTGGAAGGGAGCTAAGGCCCTGCTACGAAGAGTTATTTGCACTAGGAGGACAGAAAGGGGTAGGAAGAGGAAATGCATTTACCATAAACATATGAGCTTGTTCAGAGATGATCTTGCGTATGCATGCCTTCCATGTGCTTTCGATTAAAAGCAAATAAAATTCAGACAAAATTTTGTGAAGGTAAACACAGAGCAGTTCATTCTACTCGGCAACACAAGTTTTTTATTCAGTCTCATTAAATCACGAACGCCAAATGTCGAACCTGGCATCTCAATTAGGCACGAAGTGGTGTTTATTGTGAATTGCTTATCGCTTTGATCGCATTGACTTGACAACTGGAAGGATAAACTACACTAAGTTTAACACAAATAATGAAACTTAGTGTTGTAGTTTTCACCACGGAGGATTTTAGTAAAGTTTTTTAGCTGAGCGGTGAATTGACAATTTACAAAAAAGTAACACACTGACTGAGTGTGGATAAATCTGGCATGACTGACATTTGTGAGTGGGTCAAAAACCTTAATTTATGCAACAGCAAAGGTGGACTGAATGCACAAAATGCCGGGAGTGAATAGTTCTTATGTTTTTCCATTAGTATACCTCTAGGCGATTAGTAGGGGAAATGTTTATTTTAAATTACGTTGTAACGTAGCCACTATTTTGAGACAGAAATGGTGATTCGCATATTTTTTGTGCTTACTTTACAAAAAAACCATCATTTATGCGCACGGAGTGACAGAGAGGTTTCCAAAAATTGTGTCTTGGTAAAATAATCTAAGTGACATCAATAGCTTCCTTATTTCGCCTACAATAGGCGTACAAAGGTATACTGTACCTTCTGATGAGATGGAAGTCGTCTGAACTGTATATATTGCGAGAAGTCTCACAAAGGCTATGTTTCAGACATGAGAACTTGATGCCTAATGCATTACATATACTACTGATTATTCTAATTAGCATTAAGATTGCTTAAAGTGATGATTGTTTGTTTCACTTCGTATATCGAATGGAGTATCAATGACGATTGCACCCAGTGTAGCAGGAATCAAAAGCCCTAAGGCACATTTGAAGTACAACTGATCTCTCAAGAACACTGTTGTTAGTTTGCGAGCTACGGGATCCGTATTTGGGCCGCTACACATAAAAGATAACCTCTCTGAGGCACTACTTTTCATGGTAAAAAGTGGTCGAAAGAATTTCATGGGACGGAGGCAAATCAAGTCGTGAGATTTGCTGAACATTGTTATTGCGTTCCATTTGCGCCTATTATTATTACCTAAGATTTGAACTATTTTTTTCAATGTGGAATTATGTTCGTTTTAATGAATGAACTTGCAGCCAACCAACTTCTACAAGAATTAATTGTATGTTTCACAAAAGGGCGCGACGGTGTTGAATGAAGAAGCTGTAATAAATGTGCATGTGACGTAAGCCTGGAACCGTGGTGATGGCGCTGCGATTGTGCAGCTCCAGTTGTCTTGCAGCAATTGCCAGGAGGTGTCATTCTGCTCATCTAGCCTAACTTGCAATGCACGGTCAACTTGTGGCCTCATTCACTTGCAACCATTCACAATGCTATTCAGCATTCTGCAGAGCATTCTAGGCTGACGCCAGTCGCTCTGTGCTCGTTATAAAAGTAAATGAACATTAAGGTGAAATGCCATAGTCAAAGCTGTAGATGGGAGAGTCCAGGAGTTGACCAGTTCGACGGGAGGATTAGAGATAGCAGTGCCTTCGTTCGCGTATGGCCTACCGCCAGAATGAATGAATGAAGAATAACGAAAATTAACTGTTAGGTGTTGTGATCTCTGGTGGATGTTTAGTTCTTCAGGTTTACAGCAACTTTTTCGCCAAGAAGAAAAAAATGTTCCCAAGTTAAAGCGAAACGCAAATCCGCAAAATTGTGCGTTCACTTCCCATATTTTGTGAATATATGAGTTCAAAAATCAGGACCAGCAAAATTTTTGAAGCAGCAATTAATAATATTTCATTTAGGTGTGCGAAAACATAGTTGTTATAAAGGGATATTAGCCATTTTAACGGGGCGTGGTTTTGAGGTTTGTTATCCATTCACTTTTCTTGTGGACCAAAATATGTATTTTGTTCTAACCGTTGGTTGCAACGCCAACAGCAACTTTATTTCTCTACGTTGCAAGTTCTCACGTTCGCATGGTCATTGAAAATTCTAGATGGCTGGACTTTTAAAGCGTCAGTCTAACCAGCCTTTAGCGAATTGCTCAAATCTGGGCAATGTTGTGATAGCTCGATTGGCATGGGACCCAGAATGTCGAAGCCTGTGTAATTGAGTTCCCTTAGGAATGCAACGGACTAGACTAGGATGGAGACAAGAAATAGATGGGGGCCAGTTATTGCATTGGTTGACTTCCAAATAAAATGAAAATTTTTTAGCACCTCGTAACTCAAGTTCACTTTTGGGCGTGGATAGTATCGGTGGGAACGGTAGATGGAAAGGCAGGTGAGGCGAGTACACACCCATCCAAAGTTCAACCCGCAGCATTGATTGGTCCGGTGCATGAGCACGCGAATTCACCCGAGAGGCAATTAGGCACGTCTCGTGTGGCACGCACATACTTAAAAATTAAAAATATCGCATACAATTAGGACAACTGTGCATAGATGTATCTGATACGCCTCACCTGACTGAGGAATACAGAGGGCATAAAAAAGCTAAGAGTAGGTACGAAGGGGAATAGACAAAGATCCATGAGCCGGGCAAAACTCCCTCCTTTTGGTAATTCGCACTTGCAGAAATCAAATTAATCCTTCTACTTGCAAAAATAGTAATGCTAAGCTTAAAAACAGTTTTGTAAATCCTTTGACTAACCTTAGTGTGGCAACTCAACAGGCGAAACAATGAAAAGCTGCCAGCATGGTAGACTGCTGCACTCATATGTGTTTGGGGACTTAAGAGAACGTTCGGAGAGATACGTACTTAAGCACCACAAATAGCTTAAAGATAGCTATGCTGCTAGCATCTGTCTGCCTACCTTAAAACTCCCTGAAGTAGCATAATAAGATGGTGGAGGGAGAATTGAAGTAACAGGGAAAATTGAATTAGACTATTTGAGCGCCAACCAAATTAAAGGGGTGCGGGCGAGCAGATTCAACTTGCAAGTCACCTTAGGTTACTTCAAAGATTCTACAACTTAACTCAAAGCCTGAGACATCAAGACTGCCACGGGCATTCGCAACTGACGGAAAATAAATGCACTCGCACTCCAAAATTGAGCACTAAACACGATACTTCCCTTCTAACTGCATGCACGACACACGCCAACGAAAATACATCCAATGATGTAAATTCCTCATAGTCTTAATGCTAAGAAAGGCAAGCCATTCATTCTCAGTTTTAGTCCTTTGAAGGAATGTTAGGGTTTGGTTAACTTGCACAATCGAAGCTTTGGTGGCACTCCTTCAACGCACGTCACCTTTCAAGCCGATGAAAACGCCCTCGCACCCTTGCTTAAGCAATACAATTACTTGTTTTAGGTATTTTTGTGAATGCAGATGTCATTAGTGAATGACAACAGAGCTGCCTTTGAGGCGTTGTTTTTTAAAGGCTGATAAAGAAATCTAATAAAAGATCACTCTCCAGCACAGCTTTTAGTAAATTAATATTAGTTAATGGCAACAAATCATTAACAAATAAAAGGTTTGTTTAACAAAACTGCTCTCAGGAAGGTTACACTTCAAGATAGCATAAAGTTGATTTTGTCAAGCCTCTCGTCCACATGCGAAACAGATATTTTTCATTGCAGGATAAATTTTGTCATTCGAAATGCTTAAAAACACAAACAATTCTATTAGGGACCTACAGATAAATCAAAATTTGCCGGTGAGATTGTGAAGCGCGGTGCTTCACCGCGATGTGGTGCCGAAGTCGTAGCGCGGGGGAGCGAAGTCAACTGTGTGTGCTAAAAGTGGGCAGTGACGTGGAGGTGATGAGTGGTTGACGGAGTTGCTCATTGATTTCTTAAGGTAGAACATCAGATCCGTGGATTGTGCTCAGGATAAAAGTGAACGAGCGTGCCTTTGCGTCACCACGGCTTCGCAACTGGGAGTGTCATGGTTACTCATGTTGACATTTTCGTGCGCTCCAGCATGTGGAATATGTCCCTTCTGACGTGCTCTACCTAATACACCAACATTTAAAAAAAGTGTTGTTTAAAAGTGCCTGAGATAAAAGAGTTACATATAACATTTAATGTTATCGTCTAAATTCTAGTCGTATTTACACCTTCCCATGATTTCAAACTACAAAACGTCTAAAGCTACTTCAGTCAAAGTCAAATTGCTGAAGCATCATTTCATCTTAAAAGTCGCATTTTCCTTTTCCATTTATAGGGCGATAGCTTTGGAAAGGTGTTGTTTTAGTGTGGTACAATGGAATTAATTAAAATAAACCGCACCTGTAGTCCCTCAAACCTGTTATGTTGAATTAGTGTTAGAAAAGGTTAGTGCTTGGATATTCTTGCTAGTTTACTAATTTTTAAAAAGTAGAAAGTGAATGAGGCAACACAAGTAGGTCTGGTGGTGATTTGGAGCCTCGTGTTAAGCAGACACGGTTTACGTATAATGAAGTAGGATCGAACTGACGTCATGCATAATGTCCTCTTTTCAAATTGGACTGCCAAAATATAAGTTACTACAGTCTTGCCAACAATCAACGGTTGTCCAAAGTGAGAGCAAGGGACCGTGCAAAGCATGAGCTGCTCGTTTAGCTCCCAACTATGTTGAAAGACGATTTAGGATTTGCGTTAGTGAACCTTCGATATGCGGTCTGGAGGGCGGGCAGCGTCATCACACTCGAGTCCTACGTGTTGCGTCTTCGTTTGCCTCCAGTAAATCCGCTGAGTGCTGCAAACGCTTTTGCAAAAAGGAAAAAACGACTGTCTTGAAATAACTACCGCGTATTCTAGAAATTGGATGGCAAGCATAAAAGTTATTACAAGTAAGACGAAATGACTTACTCACTATATACCCAAAAATAGTTTTAAAGATTATAAATTAACAGCTTACCCCTCCGATGTCGTTGAGCGGAACAAAGTGAATAGGGCCAAAAGTTGTAGAAGGTAGAAACGATGAAGGAGGAGGCAGATACGTCGATTAAACTGCGTCAACGGAAGGTGAAAACCAAGGTGATAGCGAAGACGAATTTTAAGGTCTTCGCACGATGCATGCAATGCTTCCCTCAAACGCGAGGTAGTGGCGACAACTTCATTATCAAGGGTTGGTGAATCATCCCGGCAATACTTGAGGCTAGCCACAACTCACAGGCGAAATTCCATGTGATCTCAATGCGGTGCCTAAAGGGTGTTCGGATCGGAATAAAAAGACTATCAGAGCATGTATAAGATGAGAACAAAATTTGATTAATTACGCTTGGATGATTAACACACTCATTGTCACATGGAAAACGAGTCGATGCTTCGACCTTGATGCCGTTGTATAACATTTCATTTAGAGTGTATGGCTGCAAATCGCTCTTTGCGGTATTCATCTTCGACATGCCAAAGCATTTCTATGCGTGCCGTGTGACCCACCTTAAATATCTTCGCAAATCGCATAGTCAACACTCAGGCTTAACATTGCTTCATGAAAGTGATTATTTAAGCAGACAATTCTGCAGATGAATTTTGCAGGAAGCAATTTAATTTGCGTAATAATATACTTGTCATAGAGTTTGGCAGTAGTTGCTCTCACGAGGTTTCCTGTGTTAATGCAAAATGAAGCAGTATAGGCACACACACTTAAGTAATCACAGTCCGTCCACCATCCTGTCCTACCAACAGAAACTTGCATTCTTAATACCTCTTTGTTTATCATAATGATGACCAAACTGCAGTCAAGCGTGTAATTGCATGAGCAGTTGCATATGTCTTCATCAAACACTCCTAAATTCACCCGAGTGTCCGCATTCAGTCAGTTTGGTGAGCCGATGGTGTACGCAGCAAGCTTTCTTCGTCCTTCTTTAGATTCGCACCAAAATAGCTAGTCTTAAAGTCAACCACCACACAGCTTAAGCCGTCATTGTAAATCTATAGCAATGCTGAGTGAGGAAAGGCTGTGGAAGGGAAGAGAATAGGAAGTCTAATAGCTTTCCGTCTGCAGCAGTTTCCGTGTCCGAACGGAGAGGAATACGGATCCTTCAAGTAACAGCAGTGTTGATTTTAGACCATGCAAAACATCAGTTACAAGAGAAAGTGTGTGCGAATGTAGTCCAACCTTGCTTTTAATGTTTATGACACTTTTGATTAAACAGAGTCCTTATTTACTTTCACTGCACCCCAAATACAAATCGAGACTGTGGACGGATCAATTCAACGTAAAAACAAGTCATGTGTTCAAATGGGGTTTGATAAGGGGTAAAGATAATATCGGAGTAGACAAGTGGACTTCTCAACGGGATAGGAATCACTAAAATTATCAGTACAACAAGCGTGCTCAATGGAACCACAGATGGAGTGAGAGCGAGCTCAAAGCAAAAGACCATAAATGCCATCACGCAGCTGAGCAGATCACGCTGAGCACGAAGATGGCAGTAGAATATTGTGTGAATGTTAATTGTGCCGGACTTTGTATCCTACACCAGACACAAACATTTTTCCAAAGAACTCAAATTGTGGACGAAATTTTACGGATCTCTTCCTTACTCCTCCCGTAATTACGGCAACTGAACTACAAACTAATTGATTCATGCAACCAACGGGTCGTTTGAATGTGTACAGTTATGAATGCATGATATTGTTCATCGTTTGAAACACATGGGCGGATCTTCTGTGGTCCTATGCTAGGATAGGATGACTGGTATTAAGTTTCGTTCTTTGAAATTGTTGCTTAGATCGCTTGCGGGTTGCTCCATCAAAGTGCAAATGCGAATCTGCCCCGAGCAGTTAAAGACGCAAACCTGGTTCCAGTCCCCTAGGCCGGGTAGCATTATGGCAGAATTCTTCTTTCATAGTTAATTGTGATCCCAGGTATTGTGCATAATGCTCCAAAGTCGGCATTTTCTAACTTGATTTGAGATGGTGGTGGGGCAGACGTGGTCGTCTGCATCCCAAGCTTTGATCATATATGCCATGAACAGTCACATTCAGTGGTTAACTGGATGAACCGGCAATTAAAAACCCAGTAGGCCACTTAAACTCACTGACGTCAATCTAATTATTTTGTATTTTTTAATCTTAACTAAAGAACCTACCTAAGTCGTAAAAGCAAAACAATCCAAAAGAATTGACGCAAACGATATCTCAAAGGACCGCCATAAAACTGGTCCTAGATTTTTCATTAATCAAGATACAATAACTTTATAACGACATCCAGGCCTGACCAATGTTGAGAGAAGCATGGAGCTCATCACCATTCACTTGCAGCATTTATTCGGCGGGTGGAGAGACAATTTCAGCAAAGCCCGCACGACACCCATTCAGTGATTACGGCGTCCCCTACGACAACTTAGACTAGCAGCCATTTCTAAAAAGTGCATGAAACCTAATTTGTGAGCTTGGATTGACTGTTGGGAAATTTGAAATCAAATGAAATGCCTACT